TGACAGTCTTTCGCGGCCACTATTGACTGCCCGCCACACCGTTTCCCGAACCAAAATGACACGGTGGCTCACATCTCTTCGCATCCGGCCCAAATCGCGCATGAAGCCAACAAATATATTGTTGCGACTTGCCTCGCGACTTGCTGCGGTAACGCTGGCGATTGCGATGTTGATCACGACGATGCTGCACTTCTAGAACTTCCATAGCGCTCCTCTCCTCCATGCGCAACGAAAGTTCCTTCACTCTTTCGTCCATGTGCAGCGTAAGTTCTTTTACCTTCTCAGCCAAAGAGTTAACCACTTCAGCCAACGATGACTCCTTGGCTTGAAGCTGGACTGGGCTGCGCTGCGCACATGATAACTTCGTGGCTGCGTGTATGCCATCCGCCATCGATGCTAAGTAGGCGAGATCGTCGCTCTGCGCGCCAGATACAACTAGGCGTGTTGCTTCCGGCAAATTACGCATCCACTGCGTTTTGATGATCGCATCTCCGGCGAGTGGACCACCTTTCCGCTGTAGGTCTCGCAGAAACTGGGAAGGTGTACGATCGCCTATAAATTCACCTTCCAGCAAGGCCTGAATTTTCTCCTCGTTGGAGGTGCCCAGGCGCTTAATTAATGCCTCCTTCACTTCGTCGTACGTGCTGTCTGGTCTTGCTATTATGTCCATCACCGCTTGACGGTCTGTTGGCGTCAAAATTGTAACACTATGGACAATTTTTCATCATCTTCCGTCACTTGAGTGAGCCGAAAGGTGCGCTCAGCAAGTGTGAACCAAACACTAATTTCTTCATTGTCCGAACGCGGAATTAAACGTACAACGCGGGCACTCGCGATTTGAATCGGCGCGGATGTACTTTGAGCCATTTCGATTTTCTAATTTTTACTCGGTACACTTATTCTCACCGCTCACACACTTAAAATTTGATAACGTGTTCTTCAATTTAATATCACGTCGGGGTCACCAATTTGTGGGATCGGTGAGTGTGGGTTATAATTGATGCAAAGACACTTGGTTTGAATATCACGATGTAAGTTTATTAAGAAGTTGTGGTAATGCGTTTATTAATAAGTACTAGCTTCTGCATCAAATGAACTCGAAGAACTGACTGACGAACACCTCTCGAGGTGTCCCTTTTATATCGGAAATTTTCACCATCTGGTCTTTGTGTTTATACGTTAGCTATTGTGAATAGGGCGAGACGTCGTCCAGACGGTCCCGGCAATTATTACCACTGAATAGGTATACCAATAAATATGTCAAAAAGAGCCTTGAGTTGAGCAATTCGTACCCAGACTACAAGGGGTTACTCTGTTTCGTTCAGACTAAATAAATGTAGACTAAACATCCTTGCCGGACCGAGCGTACCAACACAAAGCCCAGACGATGAAATGTACCCTGGATGAATTCGCTTAGGCGAAGAGAAGAGATCGAACGCGCTAGACGCAAGAGGACCAAGCACAGTGCGAGTGCACAATCTGTTTTATTTAATGAACTCTTCGGGCATGGTGTGCGCCCCTGGTGTTTCGGCGCATGGATGTTGCGATCAAGCGAATGAATCTAAGTCGCGCCAGTCAAATTAAATTGGAGTAAATTAAATGCATAAAAAATCGAATCAAATTGGCACAAATTGGACGTAGCAAGGGGGTCGGAAAATCAAATTAGTAAAATGAAGTGTATTTTCATCATTATGAATCATTAACAATACGGTATTCTAATTATATAATTAATTGGAAATCATTGATCTGACATATTATAAAATGCTGCCCTATAAAGTAGAATATTCTTTATTTATGAACTTTTTGATCCTTCACAAAAGCAAATAATCGATTTAATGCAATTTCTAGGAAACTTCGTTTGAACGCGTTTGGAAAACATGTCAGCTTTTAGTACCTACATGGTGCAAAACCTTCTAAGCAAACATTATTACTATGCGTTCCATGATAATGCCAATATTAATTTTTTATGTAAACTCTCCTATCCAACACAACCCACATTTGAATCCACAAACAGTGTATGCAAAACCTTGATCCGAGCGCTGTGACAATGTGTGTTACAGCACCACCGGTGAGTCTACCAACAATGCGCCGGTTCAGAGCACGAGTGTGCATTGGGATGATACAGAAATGGTAATGCAAACTTGTTTATACTGCGAATGATATCACAATGGGCGCGCCGCGAAATGCACAATACCAAAATTGATTCTATATTAATTAGGAGTTTGCATAGCTAAACGCGCGCGCGTGAATGTCTTCAGGCCGCTGTGGTTATTGTTCAATTCGCTCTACATGGTTGGAAGACATTCGCCGCTTTGCATCAATAATTAGCGGGCGTTGGCGGAGCGTCACAGCATAATTAACGTAATAATTCTTTAATCTGATTACAATCATAACCAGCATTACGAACTGCGTTTGATGCGCTAATGAGATTTATAATTTTATGATAAATTGATTGTTATTTAAATATCATGTGTTCAACTCAACTCTGATGGTCCAGTTGTGTGGTGTTATTTGTGAATAGGGTCACTAGGCTCGGTACGCGCACCGAAAATAAACTGTAAATAATGATTGGCTTTACTTGTTAAATATACAACGCAATATTACTGAATCTTTCAACAAATACTCCGCAAAAAAATATAAAACAGAAAATAGAGAAGATTTATAACGATGTGTTGTTATGGCAACGGTAAATAAACATCAGTTATATGAAACTGCTCTCAGCTGTCGTGCTCGAAACTTATACCGCATGTCAAACATAGTTCTCAAAAACGCAACACAAGAAAAATACCAAATTAAAAAGTTAGAATGATAAATAATTATATCATGATTCAATTTGAAAGCAGAAATTGTAGTTCTGCCGCTGTATCAACAGAAAACCGTTCGCAACTTTAAGCGTATAAATTTCAGCGCTTGTAGTCCGCGAACGATGAATAAATAAATAAGTTTTCGCTGCCGCGAAAATCGACTACCACTTACTTAAGTGAGTAAAGACCGCCAAAACTTTGCTTCAATAATTCATTACACGAGGAACAAATTGCGATAGGATGAACTTGCGCGGCGTGCGCGTTCGCGAGAAAAACCGCAACTAGTTTTCCAACTATACAGCTAATTAGATACGTCTATTTTATCGTTTATTTTCCACCCCTCTTGGTATATTTAATTCACGTCCGAGGCAGTGAATACAGTCAACGGCAACAATAAATATTAAGTGCGAGGGCAATTTTCCACCGTTTTCCGAGACATTAAAAGTGAACGGCTTTGATGTGCCCCTCGATATGAATCGAGAAACGCAGTATTGACGTATACCTGAGGTGAATAGACTGGAATTATTAGCATGACATGTAAATATGAAAAGTTAATGTTATTTTTGAATTTAATTATTCCCTCTGCGCGTTTGTACTTTTGCTTTTACGGTTATTTTATTTTCCCTTTCGGCTTCGGCGCTGCTAACTAAGTTTTGTTTTCTTTCACTTTGCCGCCGCCATCTCCCCCAAGCCGTTCGGTGTTTTCCGCATTGGCGAGTAAGTAACCGTGCTGCTTATATCTCTTTATCATTCTTTTGTGTTCTTTGCTTTTATTTAACATTTTTCTCTCGTAGACTTTTTGTTGTTGTTTTATTTTGAATTATTTCACTCGAAGGTAAAACAAAACTTATTGTTCCTGATGATTACGCGCGGTGGAAAAAGAAACGCGCGGAAGATGAGAGGGAAAAGTTTGCGAGTCGCACAAAATAAGTGCTTATTATGAATATTCAGATTGGGACTTTCGAGTGTACAACTTTATTCCTTGCGCCATCGTGTGTCCTTCGGAGCAGTCGAAATGCGTACGTACCTTTGGTGAAGAAAAGAAGCGCGAGACGCCATTTTTAAATTAACCTACTTCGACGAAAACAACGCAGGAAAAGACCAACCTCTGTGAGGACGGAACGCAACCGAACGTGCGGACGGAAGGAGCGAGAACAAAATTCTTATCGCGCGTATTCGTTTGAATGACCGGCCGCTTTTCATAAAAATACAGCGAGGACCCGCAAAAAACCCACAACACAATTTTTTCCAAATCAACCTAATCTAGAAACAAATTCTTTCTCTGAATGCCTATACTCACGAAGATGTAATTTACAACATCGACATTTTTATTAGTAAAATAAAAGTGTCTTCATTCATTTTAATACATGTAAAATCGTATTAGGGCAAAATTTAAAATTCAATTTAAGTTTTTAACACGTACGAAAAAAATAGTGCACAAACGGAAAAGCCTGGACCTACATTAAAAAAACGTAGAATTTCCAGGTGGCTGTGGAAAATTTTATTGCGCCACCCCAGCGGACAGAGATCCCATCAAAGATGCGGAAGTAACACCTGACTAACCTTGCAACTCGAGCGCGAATGATATAACACATTCCCCGGGCCCTTTATCACCATCATTCGTATGAATTTTTAATGTGCCCACGTGCTATTTTCCACATCTCACACGTTTGGACATGTTCCAGTTTTCCGTCTTTTAGAATTCATCAATCTAGAATAACACGCTTTTTATGCTTCGAAAAATTACCAAAGTCTTTTAGCTGACGTAAAATTTTATAGATTTTGGTTGTCTACATATGACTGGATACACGCACTCCCAATTTATGTCGTTCGTTCACCAGCGAAAAGAAAATTAATATAATTGGCAATTAGTTCATGCAATACTTGAGTTGACTAGTCTTTACTTCCATTTTTTCTTCGCCCGAATCCGCCTTCTAGTTATTTCGTCATTTTTTATGTCGTTATAATCCGTGTAATTTAATTTTTCTACAAACTGACTTTCCTAATTGGATCAACATCGACCGATAATTTTACGCACACAGCGTTATGAGTGATAGACAAGTATATCGTGTCAACACAACCTTCAGAACTTATCAAAGTCATGTTCACGGTTTTAGTTCTGCATTCCAAGCGCAAAAGAGTGCAAAGCAACAAACGAAAATGTAAATATTGTCGATTTATTATCAGTGTTTTTACCTGTAAATTCAACGCAGCACAGCACCACGAGGATGAAGCCAAATAAATTCCTGTTCTCTATCATTGTGACGTCCTTGGAAGCAGTTTGCAGTCGTAAAAAAACTCCAGTTTGCGGCGACAAATCCAAAACGAAATATAAACAAAAGCCAAACACACTCGAATATCTTTCTTTCCTCCTACCCCCGCGACTTCCGCGATAGTTTATTCTAAGAACAAGTCACAGCGTTAAACACTAAGTGGAATGTTCATCGTCGTCGATATTTTGCGATAAACACAATTCCATAATGAAAGAATGTCAAAACGTCACGAAATTTCGCACTTGTAGGTTGTCTTAAAGTTGACACGCACTTCAAAACTGTCCGTTAAAATCAATCACGACGATGATTCGATTCGAGTGATATAATTTATTCGATCACGAATTTCTTTGGTGGTTGTTTGGTCTCTGGAGGAGACTTAACACCGCTCGCGGCTGAAGCACGCCGTTATCACGCAGCGAGAGCGCCGGAACGCAGCCAGCCCGGACGACGTACAGCAGCGTACTGTGACTCTCGACTGGTATCACGGCGTCGCGTCGGTGCGCTGCGCGTCGCGCCGCTCGTACGCGCGATCGCGGTTGCAGGTTCGAAGCGAAAGAACGGGCGCGATGCGTGCGCTGCGCTTATAAAATTTTAACAGGTGTTCTTCGGCGGGAATGGAACAGTGCGCGGTGGCACGATGTCTTCACCGTCTTCACATCTTCTGGTGGTAAGGGTGGTGGTAGTGGTGGTGGTGCTTAGTGATTACCTCGTAGATTACCAGCTGAGGGCCTGACATGTGTCTTGTCATGTGTAAGGGTTTATTTGGAATTACAAATTGGATATTCTAGAAATAGTTATATTTATAACTAAATTTTCTGCACTTGCAATCGCAAATAACTAGTTCATGCGCTGTCAAAACCAAATATTGTTTAAATCCTTTGTTCCAACTTTATTTTTGTGGTATATGTGTGGATATCTGCAGATGACAAATTTGTAGAAGTATTTTACACGTGATAACAACTATTATTACTACTACTATAGAAGTTATATAATTCGGAAGTTATATCACATTTAATTAGTCAGTAATATAAAATCTATTTTAAAAACTGTTATGAGATCCATTAACTACATAAATAAATTTGTAGGTTAGAATGGCGGGAAATTAACGCTCGCGTAAATTTGATAGAAAATCATCAATACTCACTTCAATATCACACTAACTGCGCCAAACGTATAGTTTTTATGAACACTTCAAAACTCTTCCCATGCTGATTACACCTTCAGGTAATATTTCAATTAGCACGCGATTTATTTTAACACAATAACGCAAAGTTACAAAACTTTTCTGAATCTGATTGCAGCGCCAATGAACGGGAAAAACTGAAATTAAAGTGCGATCACAGCGCAGTCTACCGGATTTAATGTAAAATAATCTAATCACCAGCAATTTTTAAATAAACATTACCGAATAAACCAAATTGCGACTATAATGCATTCTTGAATTTACTGGAATACACACACAATCATTCATTAAAATCGGTGTAGCCGTTTAGAACGAGTTCAGTTACATACATACGCATAAATGAATTACATATATTAGAACTATGAAAGGACAATAAATAATTACTTTTACTATTTGTTAACATCAAATAAATAAAATATTTAATAAATAATACTGTTTTAACTATATTTGCAATGTTATTAATGAAAACCATTTCTAATACTAGATCTGAATCTATCCGCATCGTAGAAAATTCTATGATATAATTATAATCTGTTTGCTGAGAGCTCCGATTATCTTACGGATATAAGGAAACATCAGGCACAAGCACGAGTGTATCAAATGGAGGCATCCGGCGTGCAAGTGAGAGAAGCGATGTGAGTGAGTTGAGCGCGCGCGTATTTTCGAGACGTCTTGAGGAACGCCAAGAAAACAGCAAGTACCTGCTCGAGTCAGCGCGCAGGTGAATAAAAGCCGGACACGGAACAATAACCAGCGCGGGAACTAAAATAAGAAGGCGCAGGAAGTACCTTCACAAGGTTATTATTTCAACGTATTAACAAACTGACTCTATTCGCGGTCGACGGAACTGCGTTTGGGAATTTCTATGAAACGTAGTAATTGAATTTACTGGCTTATAATATACAAAAAATATTGACGCATTTAAACCATGTGAAATCAACAAATAAATAAAGTACGCGTGTTTAACACAATGTTTTAATTTTCAGAGCAATTGGTTCTAATTTAATTGAAATTTTGATTGAAGTGACAAAAATTTAACGTACTCATTAACACTGATCATTTTTTAAATGGAAATTCGAGCTATTAATAATAATAAAGCAAACATTTTCTAAATAAATACCGATTATGTATCAGTTCCGTTTCAATAAACTTGAATAATAGAATTAGTTGGTCAGTAGCCAAAGTTTACATTTTTCCGCTTTTATAATAATAGCACAAAACAAAAAATGTGCCAAACTTTTGAAATAACAACACAATGTCTCAGTTTTATATTTATATTGCGATTTATAAGTAAATTTTAAAGTATATATTGTAAGGCTTCGATTTGAACGAACATTTGATTAAGTAAAGATTATATTTTTTGTGATAAAACATGTTTTCACTGTTATCTTCGATTGTTTACAATGTAAATGAAATTCATTTTGAGGTACAAGCAATGCCATCTATAAGACAAACGTGCTAAAGATTTGGTTTGCACCTGCTATGAAGTTACGTGGCGCTGCTATCTTCAAGGTCAAATATGAAAATTCAAACGAGGGAATGTTAAAATATAGCAATTCATAAGTTTGCCCAATTGAAATGAATGAATAATTTAAATGACATGTAAAATTACTATATCGTATATTATTTTATAGTACATAAACCTTTATAAGGAGAACCAATAAAAATAACCTATGATATACAAAATATAGATATCGTGATTACAAAGTTTATCGTTTATTATATGTTGGTTGCCCAATGTTTGCCAATTCATTCATCTCATTGCAAGTTACGTTCAGCATTAAACAAAACGAAATTCATGATGAAGAGCAACTCAACCAAGTAAATTCCATGATTGCCTATCTACCTAAGTTACATTCTACATATTATTTATAGCACGACGGGCGCATCGATTATAAGCCGATAAATGAGTCGACCGAATTAATTTGCAAGTCCTAGGTTAATACTAATTTCACTCCAGAATTTTTCTACATGTAATGATGAATGACTGAAACTAACCGAATGCACCACCATCATGAATTTCAACAGATCGCTAATCAAACCAAATAAACATAACATGTATTAAAATAATAGCTTTAATATGATTATAATGTTGATTTATGTAGTCAAAGATGTTGCAGTCTGACGATCGAAACCTCTGGTAGTATCCATTATTCAGTTTATCTTTACTTTACCTGTGTTTTATGTATTTATATATTAGATTTTCTTCATTTCTTGTAAATTTCCTTACTATGCGTCAGGGAGAAATTATTGTTGCGAGTGTTGAAGCGTCTTTTAACGACGTTTCTGCTAGCTTAAGATATTCCGAATTTCTTTGTGCATGTGGCACAAGAAGTCGACATAGCTTGGCGAACCATCAAGTCCTCTGTCTTCAATGAGGAAATGCTTGAAGACGTTTTCCATTTTCTCTTTCTGCCTGACCAAAGTCAACTGGAAACAAAACATGTTACATTTAATACAATGCTCACAGTTATTATAATTTATCAGAAACAAGTACTCACTCTCATGTATCTGTGTCGTTGTGATCTAATTTGTTCAATAATCGTTCGCACAGCTTCCGACGTCGGATTATCCAATACTGGCAATGTTGTTTGCTCAATGTTAATTTGTACAGCAGATGGTACACCAAATACTTGTTGAATAAAATCTTGATTAGCTCCCAAACCAATCCACAAGAACATGTAAATGCCGTTTTCTGTATAAATAAAAATATACTGATTAATGAACATTGCGTAAAAATTAAATAAACACTATTACCTAAAATGTAAACTCCTTGATCGGTCATTTTCTCAATGGTACAACGAATCTGCATCGGGATTTGGATAACATCGGAACCATTGATAGAAATCTCATTCAGTGGAATCAAACGCGGATAGAAATAGTTAACAGAGTTGTCAATGTCCATCGTCATCACTGCCATCATGCAGAACGAACGATCATCAATAGTTATATCAGTACCTGAATAAAACAATTTAAAATGTTTAAAAGTGTTATTGATAAAAGTTTCAAACAAAACACTCACCTCCAGATAACGCATCACTCTTGAGTAAACAATTCACGTACAGTGGAAGCAATTTCATGCATTCAGGCAGAATAAGCTGACCGGCACTGCTGGGACTAGCGCAGTTCTTGCGATAGTTGGCCAACATCTGAGCCGAACGCTGCACAATCGCATCCTTCACCGTCTTCGGATTGTTGTCGAGAATCTTGTACACGGACTGCTTACTGAAGAAGTTGATGATAGTTTCCAGATCGCAGCTGCGATACAAATCGGCCATTTGTGAGCAAGTCTTGAGGACTTGATTAATGATACGTAGTCGTCGTTGACCGGACACTGACGTGTACAAAAGCGCCACTTGGATGTAAATTCCTTCCTCTTCCTGGAGCTTATCATCGTGCTTCACTTCGACAGCTATCGCTTTATCACAATCTACGAGAACAACAACCATTGCATTCTGGATGGAATTTCGATTGATTAAACCTTACCTATTGCGGCCAATTCCATATCAGTTGTGTTTGACATAAAGCAATGTCCATAGAAGTCAGTAGGACGCACCCCAGTTGATGTTCGTACTCGCATTATAGAATCGAACGCGATTGGACGATTAATGTTCGTGACGATATCGTGAATTAATCGTTCACCATCTAAATCAGCCTATAAGACAAACAAACCAACATTAAATTATTGCAACTTCAGGTGAAATCTACACATGTCAGTCGTAAACTTACTTGGAAGTATGTATATTTGTAAACTTCGCCACCAGTAAGACGAGATACTTGCCCAATGGTAGCAATATCAATGTACGCGTTATTAAATAAGAACAAATCAACCGCACACCCAACTCCAACACAATCCTGACCCAACTGATTGTATGTTTGATTTTGCGGTGTTAAAATAGTGCGCTCCTTATCAGTTCCCAGCAACTTTCTATCATCCCTTGCCTTGAGTTTACCGGGTGCTTCGGCAATCGGGAGACTTGAATGGAAAACAAGCAATTTTCCAGTGCAATCAGAAGCTTTGAGAGCTTCCATTCCAGCAACAATCGCCGGCAAAAGAATAGTTTCGCATTCTCGCGTATCAGCAAACATTTGTGGAATTTGTTCCATCAAAGCATCAATTACAGCTTCAGATTCTTCAGGTGTGCAGAGAAAACCATCTAACAATGGCATAAACATTTCTTGAATATCCCCAACAACCAGCATTTGAGGAGCTGCCAAGTTACCCTGATAAAATCATTTGCAAATTAATATTTTAACAAAATATTTAATCAAATAAACTATTACCTTGATGTTGTAGAAATGCACGGAACTGTTATAAGTTATAAACCCAACTTTCATGTTGCTCTTCTGCTGTCCTTCATCAATAGGTAGATTCTTGATGATATCTTTCATCTGGGAGCAAATCAACGATACTAAACCAGACTTAATGTTGTTGTAGGACACATCAATAACAAAAATAATCGCCGGCGGTTTCGGGAATGTGTTGTTCCTGCAGTAATCTTTTGTGGCAGTAAACTCATAAGTGCCGAGCACAAGTTCAGGCCGATCATAGCGATCCATGCGCTGACCGGTGTGGTCCAAGTGTTGGAAATACTCGGCGGGCACATCGGTGGATGCTTTACAGAAGAGGCATTGGAATCGGCGGCCGGAGTCAATAAACTGCATATAGGGACACATGTATGCTTTGCAACGAACGCATCGAACTGGTCCAAGCTCGCCGAAATTGACGATCGGAGGTGTTACTTCACCTTCGGCAACGCGTGCCATTGGACTGATAACAAGGCCGAAAGGAACAGCAGTCTGCTTCATCAAATCGTTGGTAATTGGCACATTGTACATTGTCGAGCGAATATACCTCGGACTGGCGTAGCCTTGATCTTGAACGACAAACTTAGTCGACACTAAGGGCGGAACTAGGCCTTTCTGGTTGGAGTAGAAAACTCCAGAGCGACTTGTTTGATCATCTTGAATTACTTGAATCTGTAAAATAAATTCAGTAATAATATAAAATTAATTAGTTCTAATATTATAACACTTACGGGACTGGGCATCTGATCCGGATTTAAACGCTTCTGCTGTTGCTGTTGTTGTGCTGCATATGCAGGTTGAGAATATTGATTCGGCATTCCCTGATTGGTCATCGGTGGATATCCCGGACGATTTTGTTGTCCATTCAAGTATTGCTGCTGGCTTAACGGTGGCATCATATGAGGGCCGTTGTCGCCGTTCATGGTTTTCTGATCATATGGTCCGCTGATATTCATATTTTGCATCTGATTATTCATCTGATTGAACCCGCCTTGTTGGGCGGGCATGGGTGGTTGGTTCATGTTGTTATATCCCCCCATATGACCAGGCATTTGCCCTTGCATTTGTCCCGGCATAGGCGGGCGTTTTTGCATTAATGAAGGGTTTTGCGCTGGCATGGGTGGCATACCACCCATTGGTGGTTGCATTGGCGGCATCCCACCCATGGGAGATTGCATCGGGGGCATGTTTCGCCCCATTTGTGGTGGCATTCCTTGCTGAGGTGGAGCATTTTGTCCAGGGGGTGGCATAGGCTGACCTGGTAGTGGTGGCATCATGCCAGGTTGAGACATAGGAGGCATGCCAGATTGTGCAGAGTGTGGGGGCATATTCTGCCCTGGTAATGGAGGCATACCACTGCCTGCCATTGGTGGCATTTGAGGTTGTGACATTGGTGGCATGTTCTGTCCAGGCTGAGGTGGCATGTTGTGTCCAGGCTGTGGTGGCATATTCTGCCCAGGCATTGGTGGCATATTTCCTGCTGGCCTAGGCATGTATTGACCTGGCATAGGTGGCATGCCTGGATTACCCATTGATGGAGGCAGTTGATTAGAACTTGACATGGGGGCATTGTAGGTTTATTGGCCATAGGAGAACCACCTGGGCCCATTGCCGGCGGTAAATTTGCATTTTGTTGATTCTGTGCCACTTGTGGAGGTGGCATGCCACCTGAATTGTTTGCATTCACATTCATAGGTGGCAAGTTATTGTTAATTACTCCTGCATGTGTGTTCTGCAACATAGCAGGCATTGGTGGCATGTTACCTTCCTGTGATACACTTGTCTCCAAATGTGCACCATCATTTCTTGGTGGTGGGATGTTCTGAACAGGTGGCATCATTTTTGGAGAACTCTGCCTTATATCAACACCATTCTGCACACCATTCATTGATGTTGGTGGCAATTGACTTGGTGGCAACTGGCTGGGTGGTAATTGATTCATTGGAGGCCTCATGTTTCCTCCAGGTGGTGGAAACTGTCCTGGTGCTCCAGGTCTGAGAGGTACATTTTGAAATGATCCAGGCATTGGTGGCTGGCCAGGTAATTGTTGTCCAGGTGTTATTGGTCTGGTTGGTGGTAAACCTTGCTGAGGTCCAGCAAAGGACATATATTGTGGATTCATATTGAGCTGAAATAAGTTTTAAATTAACACCAAACTTGCAAAACAAATTGCCTCAAATGATAATGACAACAGATGATCTGACCCCAATTAAATCGTTATTTGCAGGCAGATAGTGTTAATAAACAAGTAGAAACAATTGTAATGTATAGTACTTACTTGTGACCACTTATAATACAATTCACATAAAATAATTACTTAAAAACACGGAAAATAAAGAGAAACTAATCATCACCGACCCTCTTGACATAGGGCTATGCCACGTAAGGTTACAATGCGCATGAATTTGTAACCTCCACGTCAATCTCTAGTGGAAAACATCTGTGCTGTCATCGTAACTTTGAATAGACTCCACTAGATAGCACTAGCAATATTCAACTGAATTATACACATATTTATAGAAATAATCAGTTGTTTTTAAACAAATACATAAAATAGTTTGATTCAATAAATATTCAATTTAAAGGTCACTATATTTAACTAAACACCAGGTTATTTATATTTTTGTTTAGCTCATCTTTATTTCATTTAATGATCTTAAAGCCAATGTCTGTTAATTTTTTTCATTTTTGGTCAAATTATATTTGAAAAACTATACATGCATTAAGCATGTTCTAAATATTATTAAATCTATACAACAAAACAAAATAGTAATAACTTATACTAAACTCCAGTAGATATCACTACAGTGTTCGAATTACCAGTTCATTAGTCGGTTGTTTACATGATGCGTGGTTGTTCCTTAAAGCACATTTTTTATTGTTTAATTGTATTAGTTTTTATCTATGTTGTATTCCACCCGGACCGACATGCTAAGATTTACTCTTATATTTCCGATGATAACATATTATCAAAAATTATCTCGAATTACGTTCAAACATCTACGGATAACCTACAAAACTGTGAATACAAACAAATGCTAGAAAGTGCATTTGAAATATTCGATATTAATGACTTATTTAAACATGACTACAATAATATAAAAGCAGGTAAATTTTTATTTTAGTTTTTTGTTGTAAATCTGTACAAGTTACATTTTTAGGAGGTGAATATACTCCTGATTGTCTACCAAAATTCTCAACTGCTGTGATAGTGTGTTATCGAAATAGGACTCAACAACTAGATGCTTTTATTAGATATATGCATTCATATCTTCCTAAGCAAAATATACATTACCGAATATTTATTGCTGAGCAAAATGACTCTGCACCCTTTAATAGAGCATTAATGCTAAATTATGGCTCCATGATTGCCATGAAATACAATTTTTCATGTTTAATTCTACATGATGTTGATTTACTTCCACTGAATAGTGGAAATATTTATGCCTGTACTCAACAACCAAGGCATATGTCCTGCAGTATTGATATAATGAGGTGACATATAATTATTAAAAGTTGAATGCCTTTCAGTTTAAGAATATATTTGTAGATTTAATTTACCTTATTATGAAATTGTTGGTGGAGTACTTGCAATACAGTCTGAACAATATAAGCTGATAAATGGCATGTCTAATCAATATTATGGGTGGGGTGGTGAAGATGATGATCTCTATAGGTAAACCTTATAATTTTAGAATCAAATTAAATGAGTGTAATCAATTTGTATGTTTATTAGGAGAATGATAGCCAAAAAATTGCATCCAATTAGGTTTTCACCATGGATTAGTAAATATACAATGTTGTTTCACAAGCATGAAACACCAAGGTATTTATATAAAATCTGTAGTTTCTTAATATATATCTATATTTTCTTTATCTTAGTCCTAACAGATACACTGTTCTGGCTGATTCACTAAAACGACAAGAATCTGATGGGCTCAATACATTAGATAGAAACTATGAAGTTAAATTAAGACCTTTATTCACTCATGTTATTGTAAATTGATTGTGTGTGAGTTTGTGTGTATTTTTAATAAATTATTTCATTATTACAATACAAAGATGTGTGTGATTTTTTCTATAATTATATTCCATTATTGTTATATAAACAATTATTTTTCTCTTCATTGCGCAAATTTTTCGTAATCCCGTTGTTTTAACGTCAATTATGTTTGCATCCGGTGAAATTAATTTACCCTGCTGACAACACGTTATCATTATCAACTTGCTAGACCACTGCAATCTGTTTAATCAATCTCGGCATAACGTTTTCGCGGATGCACATTATTCTGACCTAGCTGTGATATGCGCACTCAAAGCATTCGTGTCTGATGCACTTAGTACTTGCACTGGCAAGTTGAATGAAAAACTAGCACCTTTCACATTCTATAATCAGTGCACAAGAAACGTTGGCGAATGATGCGAACATAACAAGATAAGTAACATTAACGTGACGTTGAAGTTTCCGGGCGACTCCGATAATCTTTTCAATCACGAATGTATCCAAAAGTCAATATTTACACTATACAAATTGTTTAGGACATTACAAGCGTGTACACATATGAAAATAAGTATAATCTCATATTATTGCTACCATTTTTAAAATAAACAATAAAAATTGTGAAAGAACTCTTCATATAGATTATTTTGATTGGTCAGATTGATAGCGTTTAAACATAAAACTAGTTTTATTGCTCAAATCGCTGAAAGTCATTTTTCAATTTAATGTCCGAGGACAACCTCCATGTTTACTTACTATTTTTTTCATTCTTTATAGATTTCACATTTTGGCGAGTCAACGTAAACAGACAGACAAGGTACGCATTAAGTTTTATCCCTTGAAATAAGCCCGTAATAAAATAAATACACTCCAATAGAATATCATCCTTCGCCAGTGGATTGGAACCAGGGGCGTAGCTACCGCCGTATTTGCCGTATCAATTATACGGGCCCCCGGCCACGGGGCCCCCAAAGTGTGTAAGGAAAAACCTTTACCTCCATATAAGGGCCCCCAAAAAATTTTTATACGGGGCCCCGACAAGGCACGCTACGCCACTGATTGGAACTTCTTCGTTTCGTGTGAGCTACAACCGAAAATAGAAAGCAAATTGATCCAATTACCACAAGGGTTCTAAAGAAACTCTCTATCTCCTTTAGTTTAGAAGATATCGCTAAGAACATATTTCGATACAATGAGAAGACCCCTCTCTTTGTATGATTTTTTCCTATACGATTATTTTTAAAAATTAACGGAAGCTCTAATTAAACTAGTCTATCTTATAGTGAATTTTTTGTAAGTTAAGGATATGCCCTTCGATCCTCTCTATCTCTATTAGTTTAGAAAATATCGCTAAGAACATATTTCGATACAATGAGAAGACCCTCCCCCCCTTTGTATGATTTTTTCTTATACCCTATTTTTTAAAATTGACTGTAGCTCTAATTTAACTAGTCTATCTTAAAGAGAATTTTTTGTAGGTTAAGGATATGCCATTCGATCCTCTCTATCTCTATTAGTTTAGAAGATATCGCTAAAAACCTATTTCGATACAATGAGGAGACAAGAAATATGAGACAAGTATAAATATAAAAATTGCATTGATTCCTAGTTAAATCTGAAAACAAAAATTATTTTGTGCTTCTCATCCATTGGAAACTAAAGTATTATTGTTTACATTAAAACAAGACAAACAAATAAATATACACATTTGGTGCATTCTGCAAGTGGCTGCAATCCTGCAATGTTTTGGCAACTCCTCTAAATAAACCTAGTTATGGCTCCTTTGTTAATGCGAATCAAATATTGGTCCGGCATGTGGCCGCATCATATTTTCGCAAATTTACTAGTTTGCATGGTCAACAAATTCCAAGTGTAGTTTCAAGTATTACTGTGTATTGGTACTTGCTACATATTTTAGACTAAAATGATATTCAAGTAAAAACAAATATTCTATAATTTAATGGTTATTAAACTCACTAGATTATCTTAAGGCATTAGTACCTCTCAGGTAATAATGATTTTATCATTCCTAATCCCGCTGCAGGTATAAATGCAGTTTTAAAATACGATTTACCGGAATTAGATAATAGTTATTGCAATAGTGGCTGCATTGCTATAATTTCCAACATTTCAAACTGGATATGGATATAACTATACTGCGATAAAACCTTTATAATGCGAAACCATTTTTAAAATATTAGTTGATTATTCATAGTTTTTACCCAATTCCTTCTTATTGAGCATTTGCGCGCATTTTGCGTATTTGAACATTAGAAACCTTTTAGTTCTCAAATCGTTTATTATTCCATGCAAACGCAAAGTTAACAGTAAAAGGAGGACGATATATAAACGGCTGGTAGTGGATTGAGAAGTTTGCGGCATTCTGTGTGTTAGAATTAGGCGGATGTCGGGACCAACACCAATATTAATCGAGAATATGTGCAAATGCCGGTTTGCCGCAGAAACTACACGAACGTTTTCGATTTTAACCCTGTTTTATGAACCTTCTTCCTTTTGCTCGCGTTAAACTGGGATGGCTGCATTTATTTAAAACATTCGAGCAAATTATTCAACTTGTAGTTTATGTAATGTGCAGAACTCGTATTTGCCTTACATTCGTTTGAATAGCTTTTAAAATCGCGCAAATAAAGCAAATACTTTTAGGCTAATATTAATTTCAGCACACGAAGCAAATCAAAACTGAACAAACTAAGCTGAACTGGCGGCACAATGAAACCAAACATTTTCTTATTTTGCCGAGTAAATACTATCTTTGGCGCTCATTCCAGGAAGGGTTGCTAACACATTTTAGCGATTATCAGCGTCGAAAACAAAAGACAAACAAAATCTCATCTACAAAAGAACACCACGAGTCGTTTAATTTTCTCTTGCAGTTTTTCTTGTTATTATACTCGAAAATTTTATCTTTTGTGGTTTTCTTAACACCAGGTTAAGAAGGTTGAAGGTTGGAAAAATATTAATAAACCATTTCAAACTTTGAAAGCGTTGCTCACTAATCAAAACGCATTCAAAATTAACGCGCAAACAACAAGCAATGCGAAATTAATTCTGCTGTGGCACAAAAGACGATGAATACCACGCGAAAAATGGAACGTGCCCGACGATAGATTCGTCGGAATATAAATATAGCGCAAACGAAGCATGCTTTACATATTATGCAAAGCCGACGATTCCGTGATGGTGAGGCGGCGGTCGGAAGGAAAAACGGCTAAGAATATGGAAACAACAAAACACGCCGCGGTGCCGCGGAAGCGACCGAAACGCGAAAGCGGGCACAAATCGGCTCTGTTTAAATATTTGAAGTTAATCGTCTTTGTGGACCGCAGAAGAACGGAGATGCTGCCTTAAGCAAAAAAGCTATATTTCGTCCAACGTGCGTGTGGCATTAAAACAACTTTTGCGCTAAAAAATTTAAAATCATTTATAGACGTGTTTCATCTCAACAGACCTTCTTGTGCGCCTTTGGGCTAGGACCCCATTAAATTAACACGACTGCACACAAAAAAAGCATTGTGATATTAAAAAACGTCTCCGAAAAACTCCCCGCGCAACATAAAAACTCACATTTATCACTATTACTGCATTAATGGCCATCAATATCGTAATATCACATTCGTACTATTATTATTACGTTATGCAAAAACCATTAATCATCATTTCCTCGATGCGCGGCGCGTTGTGAAATTATTTATCGACGTTTTTGTGTCTTATAAGTCTCGTGCGTCGGCAAAGCTTCTTAAGCTTTCCCCGCCATCCCAAGGGGCACAAGAAGCGGGTCTCATGTGTTAATGGGTTTGTTCCTCGTATTTACTGTTCTTGTCGGCAGGCCGGAAATTGTTACGATTGGTATTCGCCTTGCGGTTTCTATACGCTTCGACAATTTGGTTCTTCGTCATTCGGCAAATCCCTCGAATATTCTCTTGAAACATGTGGAAAATCAATATGTGTTAGATGGGTAATTAATAAACATGTGTGTTGCACTACCACAAAACACATTTTTATTAATTAATTAAAAAATAATAATAATTTTGTACCTTTTGATAATCGAAATGAAAAATACCTTCACATTCCCTTTGATACAAATTGCTGAAGCTAATAAATAGAAATATATTTATAATTACAGATCTTTTCAATAATAAATCATGTAATTTGGCAAAACGTGCAAAATCGCACAAATGGCTTGTTTTTGGCGGTAAAAGAGCCCCGCACACGTTCAGCGCGCACAATTCACTCCGTCTAGATTGGTTTAATCAAAGTTAATGGGCGATGATTAAACATTATTAATTAATGATATACACAAAGAGTACGCTCTCTCTGTACGGTCAACAATGGCACAAAATACGCATTCGCGCGCGCGCGTCTCACACAATTACACAGCATGCATTATAATTATTACAGCTCACGTTTGGAAAAGGGCAGAGAAGGGAGAAAAAGCATCTGCTGTGTTGATTTTAGGTCGATATTTTGATAGCGGATTGAAGGCTCTTAAAGACCAGGAAATTCTTTATAAGATAAATTTATAAAGACTTTTTAAAAACGAAAATTAATTGTAGTGAAAAAAGTGTCAAAGGTATTATTTTCAGTCAGTACAATTTTCTGATGCATTCCATTAAGCGCATTATTTTTAACAAAAACGGAAAAATCTGATAATAATCTAATTTTACGATTATGGTATAAAATAGTGCGTCTTTTCTACTGCAAGAAACGACTATAGATAAAGATAAAGTTTTGTCTTGACCCCAATATTACATAACATACACAAAACCAATATTCAATAATCATTATAAATAATATTGTAATATTACTACAATAATACACGTTGAATAATAAAATATTATATTTACTTTTGTCATATTTATCAAACACAAAACTACCCCTTTCGTTACACCACTGCCAAACATTCCTAAATATCGCCTTTGTTGCTTATAGATTTCGTTATGATAATAAATACTTATGAGTCACCATAATAATGATTTCCCAAATCCAGACTTCCAGTAAAAAATTGTACTGCATGCTTTTGAACGCCGTTTTTCTCATCATATTTCCAACTAAATCTACAAATTTACGACTGCAATTTAGCACTATGCAGGCGAAAAAAACCACGACCTGGTGCGACGTGAATAAACTAAGATCATTTAGTGCACATGGAGCAGTGTAGCGAGAAATTCAGCTCGTTTTGCGCCAAAAATTTCAAAGCCATTGGTGCACACTGCACTTGCGAGTAGAAATTTACCATAGGTGCGCGCTCGTGCCACACGAATGCATCCGCGGTTGTGTTTGCGTCCGGCGAACATAATAAATAACAATTGTTTCAATAATTGGGCACTTCATTTTACGGTACAGCGCACTTATCTATCCAACGCGCCGACCCCAGCACCCAACGGGTGGTCGTGGTCCTAGTGTGCGCTGCAATGCCGCTGCCGCCACCGCCACCACCGTGCTCCCATCGGCATCGAGAATCAATGTGGTGCTAGCGCGCCAGCCAGCGATGGAGCACCAAACAATTCATCGCAACACTTGCTGCAACAAAGCGTTCAGCATGCCGCAAATTAGTGCTATGGCTCGTATTAATTAATACAGATTAATTAAAATCGGCGCATGCACTATGTTTACTCACAATTTTATGTTTCTCGTTTTTTTTACAACGAAATAAATATTTCCAATCAGAAGCAATATTAAATTTATTGTTTAATTAAAAATAAATTATTATTTTTGAAAATTACAAGCATAAATGTTAATTTTTCATATAATTTTTATTTTTATAATTTATTTTTATTAATTATAGCGGCGGGTGTAGAAAAATTAAATTTTTTGTTTTATTTTAAATAAAACACATTAAATGAGGTCGGTTAGATTTTGTATGAATAGTTTCTATCCCTTGGGATAAGCCAATATTGCTTTAAGGTGTAAACAAACACCTGGTAGTATAAATAATAATATTTGTCGTGCATCAAAAGGTAGTGGATATCATGAACAACAACATACAATATTATCATTTCTAGACTGAACAGTTTCTTGAATTACTGTTAAATATTCATTTATTTTCTCTAAAAAGAATAATTTAACATAGCAAGCGTTGTATTTATTATCAAAATTATGTTTGACATTAAAAACATTCTATTCTACGAAATCGTACGAATGCACTGTCAATATTAGAATATTACAAGATGAGTAAATCCAAATCATCTGCAACAAATTCAAAAAGCCAAAGATTACTGCAAAAGTTTGAATCAATTAGCATTGTTCCAAGTTTAGATGTCTTAGAGCTTGAGGATTATGCTGAAATAGAAGTTAAATACCTTCTTGGAAATCTCCTCACCGATGAAGAACTCAAACAACTTGAATCTTTCGCGGAAAATACGTCGTTCGATGCGTCGTCAGTGGATGAAGAGAAGATTGTTCAACGTTTCAGTAAATTTTCACTGATCTCGTCTAATGTTCAAACTCGTGCCAATGCTTTGACCGATATCATTAACGAAGAGAAAATGAGAAGTAGTATGGATTCGCAGAAACGCTCAAATTCTACGAATAAATCTTTATTGCCAGTCAATAATTACAAACGCACTATTGCGGCATTCAGAAGAATCAAAAAACGTTTAGAAAATGTTAGACATTTTTGTCCTTCATTGTACTATTGTCAAAATGATATATTTACTATCTGGGGCAACATGATGCAATGCAGTAGACCGTTTTTTAAGCATAATCGTGAATTGTAAACATAATCAAATTGGTTAATATATTATGTTTTGTTAAGTTTTATGAGACATGTTTATGTCTCGTCTATATAATATTCAAATTGTGTTTGAACATTAAATTTACCAGCGCCCATATTAGTCGAATGGCTCTGCAAAACCAACTTATTATGTTTTGTAATATTCTCGTTCCGTCATTACTTCTTGCCATCGTCGGGGAAACTTTTTTACTGCTGAGCATTTCACGCTCCTTTTGAACTCGTCGAAAGTTGGCACCCGTTCCAAACTTAGTTTATAAGCCTTCGCGTTGTTAAATCCGAGCATCTCGTTCATAAGATGATTGCAAATTAACGAAAGTTGAAAAGGGCTGAAAATAATAGTGTGAGAATTTAGTTGATGTGGCACGATGCGCAGCGTTGTGTTGCGCTGCTTTTTAAGCGGCTCGTTGCGCGAACGCCGAAACTTTAAACGTCTTATCATATTATTTTGTTTAATAATTATTATAAGCGAAACTTTGTTGTTGCGCTACGAGCGAACGAGTCGAACAAGAAGCAAACGAACTAGGATTTGATGTTGAAGATGAGTCTTTGCGGAACTTCCACGGGCGCTCTTTGTTTGATGGAGAAGACGAAACGAGAGCTATCGGGACAAAACAGTTTAGTTACGACAGAGTTTTAATCCGGTAATTCGAGGCGCAACGCAAATTGCCTTCCAATGAGTTTATTATAGCAATTTACCTGCCATCTGAATTTGACTCGAGTCGCTAAAGTAACGAAAAAGTATCGTGATTGAAAATATCTTGTGCATAAATTAAAATTATGCATTACAACAAAAAATATCATTTTCCAGAAGAATCAATAACTCGCAATTATTTTCGTATTTTACATTTTAATCGTATTGATTCAGAAAATATGCAAATGATAAATTTTGTTTAATTTTAATATGCCTTGAGTTCTGGAGATAAAATCATTGTCGCAAAGGCAAAGCCAAGAAAATGAAAATAAATACATTTGTAAGTATATACAAAACACGCGTTCGATGAAGATGCTGTTAGAATTAAAGCAATAAGAAACCAAATGAAAATAACTTATTTGAATGCCGGATCCTAAAAGCTTGGTGTGCGGAGAATTAACGCGCATTTTATGATGATTTATAATATCATTTATTTTAAATTAAATTTTAAAAATTAAAAAAAACTTGAACAACAATAACAACAACAAGTTAAAATTGTTCTAACAGCAACTTCATTGTTAGAAACCTGTATATTTAAGTCAAAATATTATGACAATTGAAATTATTTTTTGGGATATTCCAATATACCTACTTAATAAAATATTTGACAAAGCTGCTTGCATTTTGTTCCAAAATGCTTTAATATTCAAAAGCTGCTTAAAATAATATAATCCCTAATCCACTTTCAGGTAATCAGTTTAATCCCTTGTTACTACTTGTCAAAGCAACTCAACCCAACATTACACATTCAATTCACTTCCCCCTCCACTACCCACCCTTTAAAATTCTGTATATAAATTTTAAAATTTGCAACCAGATTACACTCACTAATTTTCATTAGTCTTGTTTACTACATTTGTTGTCACTAAAACTTCAATAAAATGTTGCCAACTGCTCTTATGTTGGAGTTGTACGACCAAGAAATCTCCAGCGAAGGTAAGCAAACAAATATTTCTAAACTTTATTAAATTTCTAACTTTTTGTTTTCTTTTTCTGTTTTTATTAAAGATTTTGAACGTATGTTGATTGTGCCTGAAGGTAGTGATGGTACTTACGATCCTTACAAGCCAATCAAACAATTCAGTTCGTTGTCAATCGAGACATCACCTAAAAATAATGGTGGTAAAATCAATTCTGGTATTTTCGCGGATGATGATACTTATTCATCTTCGTCGTCTACAATGTCAGCTTCACCTAGAGGTGAAAATGTCTCATATTGGCAAGATCTTGAGGTTTACTCTTCATCTTCTGATGAGGAAAGTCGTCCTTTATCCAGTTTATCGTGGACATCGATGGATGAGAAGAAGACATTCTTCAAGAATAATAGTAAGCCAATACTTGGACGTTCAAGATGTAAGTAGAAAATAAAACAGATTTTCTTGTAAACATGTATACTTATTGTTGTGTTTTCTTATTGCAGCGTATGATGTCAAGGGCAAATATTGTTCGTTTTGCTTCCACAATCGAGAGAAGGAAAATGTCTACACCAGTCATGCATTGAGAGATGATGCCAACAATATCACTTGTCCAGCATTGTTTGAAGTTGTTTGCCGTTATTGCGGAGCTACTGGCACCGAAGCACACACGCCGAAATATTGTCCCAACAGGACATTTAATATGTCTTAGAATAATTGCCTAATGCTGATGATGATAATGCTGATTGCTAATGTGACTTGATATAATATTTTAATGTATATGATACGTAGATGACAATAACTAATTAACTCAATAAAACTCTTAAATTCAATTTTTGGTGATTTATTCAATCCATTCATCTTAGTATGCTGTGTGCGGTTTTAGTTTACGCTTCTATTTTGTTTCAAAGCCACCTCATTTTAATAAACATTCATAAATAAAAGAATAATTACACCGCGACTTCTTTTCGATGAAAGTTACAAATTCGACAACATGCTGCCAACTGCTCTTTTAATGGAATTGTACGATCAGCAACTTACTCGAGACGGTATGTAACAAAATCAAATCATTTTCCATTTTCCTTGAAAAGTTTAGTTTTGTATGTGAATTATATTGATTGTACAGAGTTCTATCAAATGACGGCAACAACCGATGGCGATGAATCAAAAAAGCTGATGAAAATTGAAGAAACTAAACAACTCTCCAATTTTTACCATACTGAAACACGTAATCTTCAAGAAAATATAATTCACGTTTCGTCTGTGTACACTCAAGTCACTTCCAGTGTTTCATCGTTTCCCACATCGTCGATTAATTCTTCTACAACGTACTGGCAAGATTTAGAAGTTTACACTCCAGCTTCTAATAAGCATAGTTTGAAAATAGTATCAACATGGTACTATAACATGAATTATTATTATCACTACAACCCTAGGACAAATGGGAGATACCGAAAGCAAAGATTGGAAACAATAAGTAAATTTTGTTCGTTTTGTTATAATAATCAGGAGAAGGAAAGCATGTATACTAGCCATGATCTCAGAGACAGGGCAAAAAATATTACATGTCCCGTATTATTTGATGTTGTTTGTCGTCATTGTGGTGCCACTGGGACAGAAGCACATACTCCTAAGTATTGTCCGTATAAATCTTAGATATATCATAGATATTTTAATTTTAGAGTATAAGAATATAAAAGTAAATGTAAAAATATAAAATTTTTGTTAAATCTTTTTGTTTATTTTTTTTTTTAAATATAGGAAAAAATGGAATCCATTTTGTTTTGCTCATTTTTGAGTTAACATCTTATTCCGAGAAATTAATTGTTTTGTAATTGTGACAAGCAGTTAGCATGTGTTGCATGCTTCAAAATATCATAGTCAAGAGAATCACAACCGGAATTATGAATGGCTGGTTGCGTGCGTCTTCTCGTTTCCGAATACCATGCGAATTCGAAATATTTCACATCCGCAATACAGTCACGCCTGTTCCGAGAGACGCGTATAATTAATTACATTTTTGTTGCTCTGTTATTGTACTCGACGAAACAACGGATGCGTTTCCAACACTAGCAGAAATGAATGTTTTATTACAAAAGAAATAAGCTTTATTCCAAAACAATAAATTGTAGCTTACCGCGAAAAAATAATGTATACAGGCATTTTTTCTTCTGTTACCGCAATGATAAACGTTTTCAGAAAGACGAAAACAAGTTTCAAAAGTAAGTAACATTGTTTCAATTCAATTCAATTTTTTTGCGATGCGGATTTCGAGGGGTTGCATGCCATCACCACAAGGCTTGATGCTGCTGGCGGCTGGAGCGCATTTCCGTTACCTTGCATCCGGTTACGACGCTACCAAACACACTTCCATACGACGCGCAACACCGCCAGGACCTTTTATGTTCCCCGCCACGACCGTGCGCCTCCTTCGCGCCGCATCAATCCTATTCTTGCATGCTTTTCATTCAATAAACGTCGCAGGTTTATGTTTCTGCAACAAGCACGCTAGATTATTACACGAAATATATTTTACGTGTGCATCTTTTCTATCTTCGTGTGTCGGGCTTCGCCTAGAGTTATAAATCTTCATATTTATATAGAAACTACTTTCGCTGAAGATGTGAACGATAAATATTTCGCTATGAAATATTTCGTTAACTAAACTTTTATTGATTCTTCAGATATAAAGTGAAAATTTAATATTTTTCGGTTTAAATTTGTTTTATAATTGGAAAAATTGACCTGGTAACACAAACTTTGCTGAATTGCGTGTGTGGACGAGATAAATTGGTCGCAAATCATTCGTGAACCGTGACTTTAAACTATTCCATCGATTTTTGTTCAATCATTGACCGATTCTATTTTTGTTCGGCTTCGGCTAACCGTAACACACAATAACAGCAAATTGGCGGTTAAACAACTGATTACGAGAATGATTCATCAGTGTGTCGAACCCACTGCCCTTTCCGGCGGGCCTTTTTCAATGCGCTCGCTTTACACTTACACCCGCCATCATCCGGTCACACAACCAGAAGCTGCGTCCAGACATCGTTTAACAATGGATGCCAAAAGAACGCTTTCCTTCTCGTCTCGTAGTTTTTTTTCCGGCACGGTCATCGCGTTCTGTCTATTCTCAACGCCACTCATTTGCTTCTTTTTCCGCTTTCTGCAGTATACCATTGTACGGCCACAATGCACAATGGCCGCAAAGCACACGGCAAGAAAAACGAAGCAAAAGAAAACAACGTGTGCTCGTGATGTTTCCTTGGTTTTGAAAAATCATCAACGCTTCTTTTTACCAACAATACCTAATGATCTACAACCCTCAGTTCCACGTTTTCGGAAAACAATGCCCCGTGGGAGCTCGCAACGACCGAAGTACAACGAGTTTCTAATCTCCACTGCGCCGCGGCTTCCGCGCGATGATATTTTTAATGACGCCGAACACAGAAGGAAGAGAAAGTGAAAAAGAAGGCTGTGGCTGTAGTAGGGAAACCGGCAGGCGGAAATCATGGGCGAGCAGAGGGCGAAAAAAAACCCAATGAGCAATCTGATAACAAGTTTCCGGTTGGCGCTCGTAAAGGATTATAGAGAGCAATAATTTACTTCTGGTTCTTTAAGAATTTATAGTGTGCAGGCGCGAGCCGCAACCCTCACGCCGATAACAACGACGACGCGGGCAGGATAGGCCGAAGACGAGCAGCCTGTACTCATCGCCTGAAAGCGAATTGAAGCCATTATACTTTCAACGGAAGTGGATATTGTATATTACATGAATTTCTGCACGCAGAAACGCTTGTATCATGTACAGGGAGTAACTAGACGCCGGGGAATGCAGGAAATCATAATCCCGTGTAATTTCCAGCTTAAAACGATTCCGTTGTATACTAATTTAATTTTAATTAACGTAATTTTATTATTAATGAATTATGATGGTAAAACCTTACGCATCCTGCTGCCACAACACATCTTCACAATGTTGATTGAACAAACTGCTAATTTTGCATGTTTCAGGTATAATTTTGTTATTTATTCGACTGGATTAAAGTTGTGGTTATCTAAAACGTGTTGATGTTAAATGATGCAAATTAATTAATATGGCGGGGTATTTGTTTGCTTTAAAGATAGCGCATGTGTAGGCGCTGGTAACCAGTGCAAAGGTGGGCGGACATGAAGTAACATAACAATGGGTTTTAATTCATCGTGTGTGCTGAATATTAAATAGCGTGTGGGCGGTAATCGCACGTAAACGTGATTAATATTTAAGGCAAGGTGTCCGCAGATTGCTCAAATATTATGTCCGAATTACCGCGCGGCCATAACATTCCTTAATTAACGTCCAGTGCACCATGTTTAATCGCTTGGGAGCGAATGTAAGCAAATCAACCCTTGATTTAAGCTTTCCCAAAATAATAATATAGTGAAATGTTTAACATATGAATGGACAACTTAAAAATATTGCTTTTTGATTAATTTAAATATTTTTAATTTGTTTTTATTATAATTTTAAGGATTAACGTGTATATTAGTATAATAAGTAGCAACCCGTGTCTAAAGCTCGTGACTTAAATACTTTAGTCACAGTTTTGTCCGTCCGTGTTTAAAATACCATTTACTATACCATTTTTATGTCTCAAAACCATGAAAAACAGGCGTTTTAAAGGTGAAAATAGAAAAAAATATAAAAACATGAAATATTTGAGCCTTTAAAAGCAAAACATAGTATGAATTATTATAATCTGATTTAGTCAATAATTAATATGGTATAATGGTGACATTTTTGTATGCCAGGCAGAAAATTGTGTTTTCACGTTCACTTGTCGTTTTCATAATCATATAATAATGCATTCATATTTAATTATGTTGTGGGTGTTAATGCGTCGGTATTCCAATTTCGCGTCTCATTTCATTTTCGTACGATTTAACATTTTATCTGGTGTCTCGTGCATGTCGCACGATGCGATTGGAGTAAACGTTCGCGCCGCTCCCACACCACCGCCACCAGCACTACGACGCGGCGCTACGTGACTGCTTTCCTTACTATCGTGCGGCATGAAATTATATTTCGTTTAAAATACAATTTTGTCGGCTTTAGTTGCATTATTAACCTCTACCACCAGCATAAGATAAGGAAACAAACAAAAGATAATTTTGTTTTCTTTTAATAAACCGAGAATTTACTGTAAATATTCTGCGAATAAATAAATTGAAGATTCAATGATTTAAAAATAAATCTATTGATACAATCAGTACATACAAATCAAAGTAGATCTAAAGTAAAGTTTAATAGTCGCTATTCACGCATTAAACCAATTCAATCTTCAAAATATTTTTTTTATTTTCTTTGCCACTCAAAAACAGACAAACATTTTGTTCTATTTTTATTCGAAGACTTTTCCTATCTTGGGCTGAACGTGGTCGTTTATAAAAAGGAGAAATCGAAAGTATAGTACTCCGGAATGTTTCTCGTGTCGGTGTTATTTGCTCAGATATCGTGATCTAGCCACCGACGATATGATACCGCATTGAAAATTGAACATTGTCTTATCCTACCTTTGGCGCTGCACCGCCCGTCCGCCATGCTGCAAATAACGATTCGTATTTTATAGTCGCGTGCGGCACGTCGTTCCTGCATTTCGGCCGTCGCTCACGGCACTCGGACGGCGGCGGTGGCGGTGGCGGTTGAGGCAGCGAATCGAAGCAGGAACGGTGCGAACCAAAACCGCGTATTGATAGACTGTACCAGTGCTAGCGCAAACTACATCACGACATCAACACACTTCTAATTCACACGCGTTTGATCATGCATTCTTATACTGACTGTTTCAAATCAAACAATTTTTATTAATTAAGTATTAATAATTTGAATTAAAATTGTAGAAATCAGGTTGTATTAATCATAACTTACATTTTTCATTGAAGAAACTTTAAAATAGCTCGAAATATTTTGTTTAGAAATTTAAACAACGTTTTAGACAACTTGTATCTTCATTAGGGGCCGGAAGATAATGATTAGAGCAAGACAAACATATACACAAATAGTTAAATGATTTTCTGATTACTGTGATTAGAAATGATTAGGTTAAATTGCATTTTTTGTAAAAAAACATTTTTTTATTTTTTAAACTTGGTTAAAAAATATAAGAAGTTTAATTTCAACTAATTCCTAAGTTGACTTAAAGTATAAAAGCAAAGTGCATAGTAAATTTATTAAATTTCCCAAACTCAATGAAACGCTCAAAATTAATTACCACATTATTTCATTGTGGATTTGCGTTTTAGTTCGGCTGAGCCGAGTGTTGAGTTTGAATTATTCCCGGCTAACCGAACGGCGCGGAATCGCTTCCCCACTTTTTATGCCCGCATGCAACTGAAGCCCCGGGAAGATATTCCGCTGCCTGCAGGCGCACTCAACGCGGAGTGTTTGAATGTTATCGGGCGAATGCAATTTCTGAAGCGTAGATTAACCATAGGTACGGCCCATTCATGCATTACAATATTCCTTTTTCAGTTACTATTTACCTGCGCTATCTCCGGCCGACACGAAGAAAACCCCCGACCGCCCAGCACCCGGAATATTTGTATTCCGTGCGTTTGGACGAGATTGAAACGTTGAAACTGCGGAAGCTGTAATACTCGTCTGTATAGAGAAAGACCAAAGATTCAACAGCCGAGACGATTGTGGTGGTAGTTGTAGTAGTGCTGCTTCTGCTTCACTCAGCCAGGT